CGCAACCGTAACGACGTTGTCAAGGTCTCTGAAATGTACTGGGAAAATTCTTTTTAATTAATTTAAAAAAAAAAATGTACACCAGAATTCCATATAAATTCTCTGGAATTCTACAAAAAATCCATGTAATTTCAAGGAAATTTTCTGTAATTGCAAGAAATTTTACAGGAACTCGAAAATTCACAGGAATTTTAAATAATATCATATTTTTTTTTTTTGGAATTTCACAAGAATAATTTAAAATTTTTAGAAATTACTTGGAACTCTAGGAAAATTATTGACATTTTATCGGAACTTTATAATTTTACAGGAATTCCACAGAAATTCCACATATTTTTGCTTGGAGTTCTACGTCGTATCCTTGGAATTTTAATAAATTTTACTGGAATTTTATTTAATTGAACACAATTTATATGAAATTCCGCATAATTTCCACGTAATTGCGCATAATTTCCACGTAATTCCGCATAATTTCAGTGGAAGTTTGCATAGTTTTTATAGAATAGTATTGCATATTTTCTATAAAATTCCGCAGAAATTCTCTGGACTTTTGCATAGTTTCTATGAAATTTCGCATAATTTTTAAGGAAATCTATACGACTTAAACTCATATAATTTTTATAGGATTTTGATTTTTTTGAAACTCAATGCTTTTTTGGAATCCATTGTCGTTTTCCATTTAATTTCACTAGAATTCCGTATAATTTAAATGGGATTTGGCATATTTTCAATGAAATTCTGCATACTTTGTATAAAATTAAGCATCATTTCCATGGTATTCAGCATAATTTCAATGGAATTCCTCCTAGTTTCTACGAGATTTCGCATAATTTTTATGGAATTTTGCATAATTTTTATGGAATTCCACATCATTTTTATGGTTTTTTATGTAATTTAATTGAAACAACAATTTTTTTGATATTAGTATTCTACGCCATTTTCCATTCCATCTAATTTCACTGAATTTTCGCATAATTTTTATAAAATCTTGCATAATTTCTATAGAATTTCATCAAATTTTTCTAAAATTAATTATTTTTTCTATGGAATTCCTCGTCATTACTTCTTTAATTTCACTTGAATTTCGCATAATTTTGATGGAATTTAGCATATGAAACCCTATATAATTTCAATGGAATTCCGCGTGAATTTTGGTGGATTCTACATAATTTCTATGGAATTTTGCTAAAATTTAAACTTTTTTTTTTGGAATTGTCATCATTTCTCAGATACTTATTTTATTGAAATAAAATGGAATTCCATGTCATACCTGGAAAGTTCAAAAGAAATTACAATATGTTTTTGCATAATTTCTATCAAATTTCACATAATTCTAATATAATTACAATATAATTTCGCATAATTTCTTTAACATTTCTCATAATTTAAATAGACTTCTGCCTAAATTGCCCATATATTTGTTAAATTTCAAGCGAATTGAAATAAATCATATACTATTGAAAAGAGCATTAAATTCTCTATAAATCTGTGTAAAATTGTGTTTGATAGCTCAAATAGTTTTTGAGTAATTAACCCTTAAATTTGACTTTAAGTCCAAATTTTGTCAAAAACTTTAAAGTCAATTTGCTCAAAAACAATAAATCTGAAAATATTGTAAATTACAGGCCATTTAGAGGTCAATAAGAGCTACAAAAGCTAAAAATTTCAATGCAATTTGCTCAACGGTTACCGAGCATTTGCGGTATGAATATTTTAAAATTGAAAGGGCGGGGTACCCTTATAAAAAACTCGATTTTTTTATTTTCTAGTTTTGCTCAATTTTGACTTTACCAATCGATAGAGCGGTTAAAATTAGTGGAAAACAACCCAGACATCATTTCCAAATAGCCATTTCTTGCAGAAAAAAAATTAAAAAGGAAATCCTATTTTTGTCTCTGGAAAATTTTCAAAATTCTGACATGGTCGTGAGCAGTTGCCATATCTTTGGTAAATTTTAAGCAAATTCGAATAAATTATATATTATTGAAAAGAGCAATACATTCTCTATAAATCCGTGTAAAATTGAGTTTGATAGGTCAGATAGTTTTTGAGCAATTGAAGCTCAAAGTTGACTTCTAGTCCAAATTTTTTCAAAAATCTCAAACTCAATGTGCTCAAAAACTATAAATCTGAAAATATTGTGAATTGCAGGCCATTCAGAGCTTAACAAGAGCTACAAATGCTGGAGATTTCAATGCAATTTGCTAAACGGTTACCGAGCAATCAAGGTTTAAAGATTTTGAAATCAGAATTCAAAGGGGGTATAAAAACTGGATTTTTTGAAGTGAAACTTCTTAGGCGGCAGTCTGATATTTGGATGAGAATAGAGAGTGATCTGGAAGTTTTTGGCAAATTTCGTTACACGAGAGAGAGAAAAAAAATAACGTAGAGGAACGGAGAGAGACAGCTAATGACAATGACAGCCGACGAACGATTGCCGCACAAAGTGTGGTCCTTCTTTCGTCTTTAGCACGGTCCTGATACGTTAAAGTTTTGTACTTTAGATGGGAGTAAGGAGACGGCGAAAATTGTCTGGGCACACAGGCGGCTAACACCCTAGCGGCAACCCTGCCCATAAAATCCCACATCTTTACTAATTCATAAATGTTTCAAAGTCACCACATGGTCGTATGAAGCCAGAGTTCTCGCATTGAAGTTTATCCGAGGGAAAATGTTAAAAGGACAGAACTTGTGTCTCAGTTTCTGGCGGAAAACGGAAAACCGGTCAGGCAATATCGCATTAAACCCCTGAAGTTAAACGAAGCAGCTCAGGGAAAAAAGGTGAGACCGAGCGTCAAAGTTGAAACTTTCCAGACGGATATTAAACCTTTCCTCCAGATTGCAGGATTTGCAGGAGTCATATCAAATAAGTAGTAAGTACACTAAAAACTATAAAATGGCTTTTTACTGAAATAAATTTTAATTACTAATAATTAGCTAGTAAATTTGATGATACTATTATCAACTATGGATTAACACGGATATGACCGGCTTTGAATCATTTTTCAATTTAAATAGGATTTTTTTTCGGATAAAACCCTCATAATTTCAGTTGCTGAATCCTTTAATTTAACATTTTCGCAAAAAGTCATAGAGCATCGCAGCCGGAGCGTTCCTGCTGCCCATATTTCATCGAGACATATTGGAGGCAGCAGTTTAAATCGAAAGGCGTTCATTTGGCGCATTGATACGAATCTCATTCGGGGAAACACTAATTTAAATTATTGCCTGTAATCTGGAGAATTATGTGCGAAACAGTGGCGACTCGTATTAACTTGTTTCAAAATTTTTCAGTATCTTTAAAATATTTTTTTAATGGATTATCTATAGAAGTTTTGAAATGCTAAAATTACATGACAACATTACAAACTTATGAGAATACCTACTTAAATCGGCCAAGCGGTAAAAACAATATTGAAAATAGTCAAAACTCTGAAATAATTTTGATTCCTGCGCTACTGGCTACAAGTTCAAAACAAGAAAAATCATAACCCTTATCCATACACCATAAATCTCATTTGAAACAAGCTCGTAAGCTCGAACAAGATAATTTCGCCATCCTTGTAATTATTATTATACTTTTGCCCGCTTATTACTTTGTCAGAGATTTAATCTTTCTGCCGATATATTAAATAGCTTATTGTACAGGTTGAATGATTTAATACATCTAGAGAACAAGATGTCGAACTAGTGCTCCCATAGAGAGAGCTCCATAAATCTATAATCGAGTCAATTATTCGGACCAGAATGGAAGCGTATTAATTATCTGTAGAGCTGCTTAATCCTAATAGCACCAATAGTCTTTAAACAAATCATTAATGAGGCCAGAGATATAGTTAATTGCTTTGATAGCAAAGCGACACATTAATTATTATCGATGATTTCTAATTATTGAGGCTCTATGAGCGAGCTTATTTTTCACGCTGACGGTTGTGATTTCTCTTTTTTCCGCACGGTATTTTTTTTTCTTTCTTATTTTATTTCGCAGGCGCTTCTCAGATAATTGAAATCCACCGTAATAAATTCGTTTTCTCCCAGGTAAACGTAATTTATTTTTACTTAATGGAAGGGACCCTCTGTTTTTGTTTATTCTGCCTTGGCGTCCGCCATGTTGTTTTTTTTATGGGTATTAATTTAAATTGCTACGGGTAATGAACTTTTCTTTTGGAAAACGTAATAGACCGTTTTTTGTCTTGTGGAAATTGCATTGTACTAACACTGCTTGACAGTTATACAGAATAATAGTTCAATCACTCATTTTTGAATAGCTTTATTGAACGCACAAGTGATGTACCTAATGAGATTATTGCCTATAGATTATTTTTGCATAAAGCAGGTTGGCGTGATTACTAGCCATGTAAAATGGAGATATGTAGCGACAGCGATTGATACGAGACTTGACGAGGTGGTAGATAGTCGACGAGAAAAGAGGTGGAAGATTGAGATTAACGTGAGTACATTTTGGAACCACTTTCATCCAGAAAGATTCTTTTGAATAAAAATAACTCGTCTGGTTTAAACTTCGATTCAGAAATTTTCCAACGCATTTTTGAGTTCATGCAAAAAAAATTCTAGATCCGCAAAGAGTTTCAAATTGCCTATGCAAATATAGCAAGGAGAACCAAACAGAATGTTTAAATGCCACATCGGAAAAATCTCTATATTTCAGCTACAACTATTTGGAAGAATTATCAGAGATGAAATTCTATCTGTCGTTGGAACGAGTTTCATCTTTAGATTTCAGAAAACATTCTGTCCGAAAATTTGAGAAGTCATCCTTAAATTTAAAAAAAATATTTATGTTAAGAGTTAACATGTGCTAAATTTAAAGGTTTCTTATCAATTTCTTCTGAAGTAACTAATTCTATGTAGCTCTCCATAAAAACACCCTGGAGAAATATAATGATTCCAGTCATCAACTTCTTTCCAAGTATCTCTGACATACCTACCTAACATTTATATAAGCTAGTTTCATGCAAAATTTTAATAGAGACTCAACCTCATTTTACATGAGTTTCCATCTCTTTTTTTACAATTGCTAGAATATCATTATCATCTAAATTTAAAAGAGTCAAAGTTAAAGTCAATAAATGCTTAAGTGTGCAAGATACAATCTGATTTACAGAGCGGACTGTAGTTAATTCAGCAAAATACAAGACAACTTAAATTGAAATAAAAAATCATCATCAGTCATTATAAAAAAAACATTACTTAAGCAAAAACTAAGTAAACATTTAAATAAAAAGCAAAATCAAAACTAGAATCAAAACTTGATAGCTGACAATACCAAAACTTTAAAAAAAGCATAGAATTCTAACCGGGATCCTTGAATTCGGCCACAAAACTTACCTGTTCCAAAATAAGTAAAAGGGTGGCAATTTTACGATAGTTGAATCCGGCCAACTGATCTACTTCTTATGAATAGCTAGAAACTCCAAATTAGTTTCTGGTTTGTTCTCATTGGGGTCTTCGTGAATTCCTTATTGGAAGATGATTTGAAAGAAATATTAAGTGAGCGTATTGGTTATCGTAACTATAAATATTGTTGTGTGTGTGTGTGTAGCCACAAGTAACTCTGGACTCTGGCTAACCGGGTAACCAAACCAAACTCAAGTTGCTGAATTGATTTATAGTAAATTATTGGATATATGCAGGTAATCTGGTATAACTCAAGTTTCTTCCATATGAATATATGTATGTCTACTTAATACATAGGTGTATTAATTATTGTTTCGAATATAACCCACAAGTTCAAATTTTATTATTTCAAATTTAATATATCTCAATCTCTATTATTAACCATAAAAATAATATTCTTAAAATATTGCTATTGCTGGACTATTTATCCTGTAAAACCGGCAACAACAACCCTTTGAACCGGTAAAATTACAGGTTTCTTCATTACCTTATAAGGCAGTGAACCTTTCTCGCCGTGTGATTGGTCAGCCGTCACTCAAAACCCCTAGTGTTTTGCGACCTGCTTCCTGACAGAGCTAGTCGACGCACATTCTTCAGTACTATTAGAATAAGCGAAGAGTTCGCACCCTCGCAGCCTCTGAATGGTCTCTAGAAGCAAACACCCCCAAAAACCCCCGTTAGTACACGCGATTTATAGTAAAATACAACTCCTAGTGTCTCAAGGCCTGACATGGTCTATATTATTGATCACAATCCATGTAATTAACCCCGAATTGTTGCAAGTCACCTCGGACGAGCAAAATTCTCTCCTATGCGATTGTCTTTTGGCTCTCCCTCACTCTCGACGGGCTCTAACGCACCTGTATATCGTTGTGTTTTCTTTTCATCTCAGTGAAAAATTCCCTAGCTGCCAGTGTGAATAGTAGTGATAAATGGAAAAAAAAGCGCCTTGTGGATTTATCTGCATGAACCGGATTAAGCAAGTAAGACCGTTACAATTTCTCTAGCAGTCGAACAATAAATACTGATCAGTGATTCACTTGAAATGCACTATAAATTGAAGTGGTTTCTAACGTTTAATGCAGAAATTTAGTTTTTACACTCGTGAAATTAACATTTGTATATAGAAACTGAGCATATAAAAAGACTTTTTCCTACGGGCGTGCGCAAAGTTATTCCTTTGCACACTCGTTAGCGTGCGCAAAGTTGAACTTTGCGCACGGAAACTCATTACGCACTAATTTTTGTTACATGAAGAAATAATGCAACAGGTAGCTCGTAAGGAAAAAAACCCAATGACGCAATAAACCATGGAAAATTAGAAGGAAAACCGCTTCAACCTAACCTCAAAATATCACTTGATTGTACCTCGAAACTCACGAAAGTGAAAATTAAAAATTATGATCGTAAAAATACTCGTTCAGAAATGCCGAGTACTGGAATTGTAAAAACATAGGATAGGTATACTTACATGGATGATTCGATGAATACAAAATGGTGGCTTGTGTGTCGACGGGGACCCTGGCACTGGCTCGGCACTCAACACTCGAAAACTCGTATTATTATTGTTTCGCACTTGAACTTTTATGCTGTAATATTCATATTCGTATCAAAGAGACCAATGATGATGATTTTGATTCGAAGGACCGTAAAAACTCGCTTAAAACTCGAAAATCGTACTTGTAAAAAAAAAAATCGTGTTCCTTACCTTGACTTGACGTAGGTGGGAATGTCATAATGTCATTCTCTCTTGACGGTTGACAGTTTCAAGGACCGGACTTTGGGTTTAATTGTGAAATTTACTTAACAACCTGCGTTTTTCATCTCTTTCTCTTCTCTTCTGGCCACGTATCCATTTATTCCTATCCCGTCTTTACATGGAATATACAGGGTGGGCCAATGGAAACTTTCCACTCCGATTTTTTGGATTTGAAATGAAAATCTGGAAAAAAGCTCGGACACGTCGATTTTTTGATTTGAGGGGGAATTATTTTTCAGTTTTTTTCATCCCCATAGCTTCAACCCCCTAGCTGGGGGGAGAACAACTGCCCAAATTTGAATAGGGGATAGGGGTCGTGTCATACCTCTTTTTGAAGGTCTCATTGAGTTCTTCATGACCCTAGAATTTGGGGTTATTATTTTCATTCGTAACGAAATGACAGTTTGTCAAAATCTGGGAGATAGACTTGTTTTAGTAGGAGTAGAAGCGATACTTACCTTCTCTAATAAAAATACTTACAATGTACGTTTCACGAGTACACATAATTGATAATAATAATAAAACAACTTTAATTGTAGGTATTTTTATCAAGGGAGGTAAGAAGTATCGCTTTTACTCCTAAAACAATAGTCTATTTCCAAGATTTTGACAAGCTGTCATTTCGTTACGGATAAAAATAATAAGACGAAATTCTACGGTCATAAAGAACTCGGTGAGAGCTTCAAAAAGATGTATGACACGACCCCTACCCCCTATTCAAATTTAGGGGGTTGTTCTCCCCCCAGCTAGGAGGTTAAAGTTACAGGGATGAAAAAAACTGGAAAATAGTTCCCCCTCAAATCAAAAATCGACGTGTTTGAGCGTTTTTCCAAATTTTCATTCAAAATCCAAAAAATCGGGGTGGAAAGTTTCCATTGGCCCACCCTGTATATACGCTAGCAACGACGTAGCTATAGCTTTGACATGGGGGGGTTTAGAGCAGTAATGACCGCTCATGGTCTATGCTGGAAAGGGTTTCTATTTTAGACCAAACGATGGTATAGGCGACCGGGCGTAGCATAGTCAGAGCTGTTTCGAGTACAGGCAAAATGTACTCGGCTACCGGGTACAAGTACTAAGCGTAGAATGTTCTTGAGTATAGAGTACAATTACAAATATTCAATACCCAAGTATTCAAAGTAACGTATACATTTATGAAAACATTCTAATACCACCTTGCATTCCTACCCAATGATGTTATAGGTACCTACAAGTTGTTACGCAACGTCCTCTTTGAAAAAGCCTTGATTCATCATGGAAATCTAATGAATCCTCATAGGCTGCAAGCGCTGAGGTAGCTGCGAACTTAGCATTGCACATGGGTTATGACGTCAGCTCCCCTTTCACATTTCCCGAAATTTACCATCAAACCGCCGGTATAGATGTTCACACATCAAAAATTGAAAAACACATTTTGGTTTACTAAATGAATTCAGCCAAATCAAACTTCAAAATTGAAGTTTGATTTGGTTATCCAGAGTCCAGAGTTTATAAGGACTCGGTTATAACTGCACAAATTATAATGTATAATTATATATTCTGAATCAAAATTAAATTATCTTTAAGATAGAATAATATTCAATTCTCTACTTCAAATACTTCTGGAGATATTGAGGCTCAAAGTCAAAACTTTGTCTCAAATTTCACAAAAGATTTAAAACTGATTTTCTTGAAAACGAAGTCCTTGAGTTCGGAGTCTCAAATAACCTTTTTTATAGCTCTTCTTGAGAGCTACAATTGAGCAAAATATTCACGCCGATAGCTTCACTGATTTCCAAAATATGGCTCTTTGAAATATTTGAAAATCAAATTGAAAAAATTTGAATTTTTAAATTTTTGGATTTTGCAATTTTTGACTTTACCAATCGAAAGAGGAGGTGAAATTTAGTGGAAAAGCATTAACGCAACTTTGTTTTTTGGGTTTTAGAGATTGTAAAAAAATAAAAACGGTTTTTGCAATTTTTAAGCTCAGAAAATTTCAATAATTTGACTTTGTCTCACAAAATCGCTCATTACTCGATTATTATTGCAACAAATATGATGTAAAATTATATATTCTGAATCAGAATTAAATTATCTTTTGATACAATAAGATTCAATTCTCTATCTTAAATACTTCTGGAGATATTGAGGCTCAAAGTCAAAACTTTGTCTTATTTCACAAAAGATTCAAAGCTGATTTTCTCGAAAATGAAGTCCTTGGGTTCGGAGTCTCGAGTCTCGGATAACCTCTTTTTATTGAGATAAAATTCAGTGAAAATATCAGCTTTCTATCTATAATAGAAAAAAAGTTATGACTTTTCAAAGTTTTTCAAAATCTAAATCATAAGATGTGCCTTATGGGTTTGCAATTGGGTTGCTTATGATCGTGTTTGGGTTGTGCTTCAAGGAAGCTTTTGATAATTATTGTAAAAGGAAATCAGAATTTTCAAATTTATGGCCACAGACACAATGTCACAGTGCACAGAAAAGTTCAAAATTTTCGTTTGCAAATCACAACGATCAATGGAACGCATGCTAAGCATCTGATGCTAAACAAGAAATGGCTGAAAATTGGTCATATTGTAACCGTAACATAATAGGTCTGTTCCAACACAGCAGGAAACCTTACAATTTATCGTCATGATTCTGCACAAACTGTAAAATTTGCGCGTAGAAACCGAAATTCGTTCACTGAGTGGTTTTTTACGTGTTGGAACAGACTTAATGTCAGATCTCAACTTGTCTGGAAATGTAATTCTGGCCAAATAAATATGTATTTAGTTAGAGTCCAATAATTTTACTCACCAATTGCAAATGTATTTGAAAACAATGAAAATACCCGGGTACTTATAACAAATGTATTTAAAAAAAAAAAAAAAAGTATTTAAATAAAAACG